AGCACCAGAAGAGAGGCTGTTTCCAGCATTCTCCAAAGAAGTACATTCCATTATAGACATAGCCCTGTGCAGGACAATAATCTTACATTGCTCATCTGAATTTTGTATTTAAGCCAGACATAGTGACAACACACTGGACTGTAGTGAAATCACACAACACATTACTATTACACCATCATGCAAGTATAAATTATCAACTTAAATTTATACATTGCCTTTGTGTCCTGGGAAATGAGCAGAGCAAAAAGAGTTAGTGATACTTGACTGTCATCAAGACATTTTCTTCTCAAATTGAAAAATAATTGAGTACAAAGAAAACTTTCCCCTGAAGCATCTTCCTGTATTCACTCTTGTAAGATGATACTAATAAAGTTCTCAACATTTTCCCTGTGCTTTAGTCTGTCTTATTTTGGGGTTTGTTTTAGGGGTTTGGGGGATTTTTGGTTGTTTGGGGGTTTGTTTTGTTGACTTTGTGGGTTTTTTTTTGAGAAGGATTGAGGATTTTTTCTTTTTTGTTTGCTTAGGGCTTTTTAGTGGGGTGGGAAAGGTGTGTGCAGGATAGTGTTGCAGGACATTTTCACCGGCATTACTGCAATATTCCCAATGAAGAGAGTCAAGAACTACTGCTTTTATGCCAGGAAACACATATATAACATGCCTCTACCAAGCATTCCTTGTGGTGCTTATGCCCTTTTGCCTGGAGGAGAAATAAGTCATTTTCTTCAATGACAACAAAAGAGCTTAGAGCAACATACTCCCAGATATCACTGTGAAAGTTGTACTTAGACTGGTAATTGTCAAAAAAAACCCTACAAAAACAACAAAAGAGGCAAACCTGCTTTGTTCTAGTTTCTCTTTTAGCAAGATGTATTGGGCTGGAATGACCCCTCCAGGTACACTAGGAAGTGACAGCCCATAGCATATGCACTATGCATTACTGCATCTATAGATCCAGTAATCTTGGGATGGGTTAGAGAGCTTGCAGCAGGACAGGGCAGAACACTACCTCTGACTGCCCCCACAACAACCTGCCACAAGGAAAAGAAAGTTTGCTGCACAAATTTAATCTGGTAGTGCACAAAGTTTTATTAAACTGTACAATCTACCCAGACTTACGAGTCATAGGAGCAAACATTACTTTGGATAGAGCTCAATTCTGTACTTAGTTATCCAACTTAATGTTATCTGCTGCTGAAGGTCAGTAAATGCAGAGCTTTTCTCCTTTCTATCCCTCAAGCTTTTTTTAAGAAACACATTGGGACATCCCAGGTAACAAGTCTTTGACAGTGAATTCCCAAATGTGACAGAAAAAAGCCAACCTCTCACTGCAGCCTATTAAACCTATTAACTAAACTCATGGGTAATTATCAGCCATAAAGGGTTGAGAGCTCTGTTGGTTGGACACAGACAGAATTTCTTAAGCATCCATTAAGAAGCTATTAAGACACACGAAGGCACTTGAGTACAGCAGGAACAAATTAAATGCTTTGATATATTTTGTGATTGTTGTCGAGTCTTCAAAGACACAGCAATCCTAAAAGATAACTTTTCCATCTTAATTTGCTAGGATTCTCTCAGGGAGGAACAACAGCTCTAGGTATGCATTATGCAAACATTACTTACATGCTGTGGCTTGTGCAGCATGTCAGAACTATTGTAAGCAATTACTACCCTCATATTCAAACAAAATTAACATGGCACAAACATCATAGAGATGTTGTAATTTTTTATGGCTGAAGTGTTCTTGTGCACTTTCAGGCAGGTCAGAGATGCTCAAAGAAGAGGCAGCTTTCTTTCAGGTCAGTTTATCTGCATTTCAAATGTGATGCCAACACTCAAGAGACTAGCAGGAGCAGAAAAAGAAATGCAGAGCACTTGCTAGATGAGATACTCCAGGGAACAAATAAATGGGGATTTTTGAAATGTCAAGCTTGTTTCTGCAGAAGTTCTAACAAGGCTATTACTCAGCTGCATTCACAGGAAAAGAAAATATTACCTAATGCTACAAGATAAGTAATTGTAATGTATTTGTGGAATGCATCTTCAGCATATATATAGGCTCACACTTTCTTTAGAAACTGCTTTGAGTTTTGTTCAGTCGCTGAAAAGAGAAACCACGCTTTACTTAATTAACTGCTCAAACAATCTATAAAGAAGGTATTTGCAGGAGTTATTTTGTCTTTATTATGGATTTTTAGGAAGCAGTAATTCACCTTTCTATATCAAGAAGGAGGCAGAAGAGAGTACATAAAGCTATAAATACTATTAATTGCAGAGTAAGGCACAATATCATTAAGAGTTATGGAAACTGTCCCATCTCCTTTATTCCTTTTGCATCTGACTATCACGTTTAAGAGAAAGAGTAATTGAACCATTCCATCAAAACCCTGGTGTGGATTAAACCCTTGCCAAGAATGAGCTAGCATTGATTACTTATAAGAGCTAGCAGTTTTAGAGGCACAGAATAATCCCAGAACCTCAGAAATTGGACCTTGAATGAGCAGACAGCTGTGCCACCAGCATGAAGGAGACAAAAGCATATGATCAGTAGCTTCAGAAGCAATTCAAATAGATCAAGAAGAGACATCAACTGTAGTTGATCTATTTAAATTCATGAGATCATATTTGGAAACATGGAAGAGAGCTGCAGGAATAATACATCTCTTTGAATTAACTCTTGCAGAAAATTTATCTTTTGATAATCTGTCTTAACATCTCAAGGCAGACTGACACCATTAGATGCAACGTCAATAAAAGGAATAAAGAACACAAAAACTAATGATTAATAAAGGAGCTCTGAAAAAAACCATTCTGGGTTGGGAGAGGGCTGTTTTTTTAGAATGAAACACTATGGCAACAAGAATCTTTAGTTACAGCTTGTATACATATATATATAGACACACACATACACACTGTATGTGTGTATATATACATACATTTTTGTAACCTAAACATGCATTTTACTTATACAGGCTGCTGATATGTGTCAACATAAGAGTATAAATCAAATCACTCTCTCCTTAGCTGTGTACACCCTTTACACTGCATATCCATAACTTCCTTTCAGCACTAAAAGGATCCCACAAGCAGGGAAAGATTATCTAACAGAGAACAGCAAGGACTTATCCCTGTTAGCAGCCTGCAGAGGACCCACAAATCCACTCTGCAGATCAGAGCAAGCAACTTAAGGAAGCAATTTTCCCCTCACAATATCCCCCTTTTGGCTTCCCAGATTAAGATATCACCCAAGGCCATGCTCTTATTAAAGCAGTTAGAAAGCCTAAAGAAAGTCACAGCAGACTTACTGCATAGCTAAGTGGAAGAGAGGCAAATTGGATTTAAGACAGTTATTCCATAGGTGAAAAAGAACAACAGCCACAGACAGTCTCTCGGGGCTGCAAGACAGAACAGGCAGAACATGGTCAGCAGGGGACAAGGGCAAAGTAATCATCACTTTTCATTGCATCTTGGCCAAGCAAAGCTCCCCAGCCCCTCAGCAATGTTGTAGAGCCACAAGAAATCCCTCCAGAGGTGAGGAAATGCTCCCAGCTCAGGCTACCATCCCTCAGGCACACTACTAAGCACTCCCAGGGCAAGGTAGACCTGCATTACAGGGCTCATCTGCACTTCTGGAGCAAACAAAACAGGAGATTTACACTTCAAAGCTACTGACCTAGCATTGTTCCAATAAACACCAAGCTCCTATTCAGGCTGTTACCAAAATCACATGCTAGACCCAAAGGACAACCTTAAGGCTGAGAGAAACTTTACTGTCCTATTTCTCTGAGGAGCATCATGACAGCAAATGCTAAAAGCATAAACAAAAATAATATACACCACTTACAAAGAAGTGGGACACTTTTGTCATTAACTAGTCCCAGTGGTGGCAGCTGATGAGGCCTTATAGACACTTGATAACCACCTCAGATTTAGGTTATCATTCAAGCTGCATGTCTTTGAAGGCCTATTAAAGGCAACAACAGAATAGCTCAGCACACTAAATAGCTATATCTTACAGGGTCAGGTTTCTAAAATCATGCATTAACTGGCAATTTGATGCCTCAGGTCACTTTACTCCAAGGACAAATATTAGTAAAACAAAGTGAAAAAAAAAATTGAATAAAAGGAAAAAGAAATATTTTTTATGATCATTCCCCCTCCTAAAGAATGGGATAAAGATTCAGTTCAAATAGACTTGAGCTTTGTTTCTCCTTAGTTTTCTAGTCACTTTAACATCACAAATAGACATGGCCAAAAAAAAAAACCACCCTAAGAAATGATTTAAAATAGGATACATATAAACAATTCAGAACTCAAATTGATAGCAGACTACTATGTCCTGCTACATAAGCCAACACTAATGGACAGTACTACAGTAATTTTATACCTCAAAGAGCACATTTCAAAGGGAGATCCCCTTAGAAGTAAAAACAGTATTAAGTCATGAGGTAGAATACAGAACCATCATAAAAAGCCCCAGTACAAACCTGCTGAGCAATTAGATTTTTCTGCCCATAATATCTACATTTTTGCCCTCACTAATATCAAATTAGCTGAGACCACACCATCCCTTGTCCTCTCTCCCAGCCCACAAAGTCCCATTACCCCAATTTCCGAGCACATCGTCAGAAGCCATGACTTGACGTTTCTCAGTGCACAGCACATTTGCTTAAGCAAATACAGCTCTTCAAACTGCCACACTATAACCACAAAAAGAGTTACAAAGTAAAATTTTGCCATCTATTAATTTACCTACCTGCTAATAACAGCACCAGCAGCTTACATAGAAGTCCTTTAAAGTGCTTCAGTCAGCAACAACTATGATACTAGATGTAAATCTCCTTTCCTAAAAGTTTCAGTGCTTATACACAGAATACAGATAGTTCTGGGGTGGGTTTTTATACCAAATCCAATTCACATGACTGAGGCTTTCTCATGAGTGTGACTCATGTGCACCTGTGATGAATAAAGTGATTTAAGCTGAAGCTGAACTACTTACTGAACTTACAAGTTACTGCTTATCGGATAGAATTGGGAAGGCAGCAGGGCAAACATTGATATAGCAGAAATATCAAATGTTTCCTCAATAGATTTACTGCTTTGGCCTGTTTTCTTACACTGAATACCTAAGGATTTTGGACACTCTCAGGTAATTGTTAATGAATAAGTGACTAGAGCTCATTATGACCTACCTGTAGAAAAGCTTCTCCTTCACCTTTCTTTCTCTTTTATTGTTGCTCTGCATGTGCTTTGAAACTGGCTGAGAAGACGTTTGCTGTCTTGGTAGCACTTAGAGATGAAATTAAGGTGTGTGTGATAAATCTTTGTAGACAATGTAGTTTCTCTAGCATATTGCTTTTAAAGGAAAGGATCTAACTGATTTGATCTCAGGCATTTCCAGCACTTGTAAATTAATAAATTGACTACTACTAAATATGTACCCCTAAGCAAGCAGTATGATTGGATGAACACTGAGTGTTTAGGTAAAAATTCTTAGAAGGATAGTCTGACCTTTGTGAAGACAAGAAAGCTAAAGCAGCTGTTTGCAACTTTCTGATACTACCAAATGTGCTTTTCTCAAATCATGCCTCAAAAGGAGAATGCAGATTACAGTGTAGATGCTACTGAGTCTTGCACAAAAATCTCTATTGATAACTCTCTTCTGAGTGTGTTAGGGCCCCTGCATTTTTTTAATCATAAAAAATTACATTACACATCATTGGGTCACAATGACTGATATCTTTACACAGTGTTTTCAAGTATTTTATGCAAAACATTTCATTTGAGATTTTCTATGAACTGAAAGATGGATTGACCAGTAAAACAGGAAGACTCTAAAATCTTCTGACACAATATATCCAGAAAATGAGGCTATTTTCTTTCCCTAAGGAAGTCCAGTTATTGACAGTTGTGTCATTACTGTAGTTGTGGGCCCAGCTGATTTACATAGGTCACAATTGGGTTGTTTTCTTCTTATCCTGATCCCTTCAGCAGCTTTCCCTCTGGTTGTGGAAGAGTCTGCACCAGCATCCCTCAGCACCCTATTCCTTGCCAGAGACAAGGGATAAGGACTGGAAGACCCATGTGATGTTCAGCACAGGCACTGCTGGTATAAACCCTACACTGTGAATTAAATCTTGTGGGAGTAGATCCTTATGGAAGGAAACACTGGACCCTCGTAGCTGGACCTGAGATGAAGCTCCTGCTGTTTGGAGTGTGGCTGGCATGACCTTATCCCTACCACTGTCCTAAGCCAGGGCACCCTCCCCTGGCTGCCTGTTGGGGCAGAGTGGGGAGCCCTGACCACCCTGGCCCATACACAGGCTGTAGCTGTAATGGCTCATTGTACAAGTGGGAAGTATCACTTCTTGTGAGTGCTATCAAGGGTTATTCAGGTAGATGTTTTCTTTAGTATTATTACTTTGTGAAGTTTGACTATAATTTTTTTTTTATCAGTTTTGTAGACAAATGAGTATTTGAAGCAAGCAAAGGTTTATATCTGCCCCTAGTTCTGTCACAGCCCTGCTAATTGGTCTCCTGTAGGAAAACACTAATGAAATTTGGTGCCTGCTGCATGGGCAGAAGGCACTCACAGTTTCAAGAGGCAAGAAGGGACAGCCTGGTGGGCAGTGAGAGGCAGTAATGGCCTGTGACAAGTTTCTGTGTGAGAAATACCAACAATTTTCAAACGCTGCCAAGAAAGAAAAAACATATTCCAAAGTCTTGTATTAATTGTTCTTTTTATTTTACTCTTCTTTTGTCCCATGACAAACATATTCTTAATTTTGGACTAAATCTGCAATAAAATTTTTTATGGTTATCTAAATGGGTTGCTTCAGACTTTAATCACTCACTGAAGACTCGTCCTTTCCCTGTTGTGAATGCTGTCACTTGAACAGCTGACTCTATTACATTTTCAGAAAGGTAGTTTTTAAAAAAGGAACAGTGTTGGAATAAAGTGTTTCTATTTCTCTGTGGTTTTGTTTAAATTAACTATGCAGGGTGTCCTCCAGAAAACTATAATGATTAGCTGTTTTGTTGTGCTGTCTTGAAAATATCAGAACGCTCCTTGCCCAGAGAGACTGTTTTGGTAGGAATCCCTTGCTTTTGTGTGGAGATTGCATGACCTTTAAAGATTTGATATCCTTCTCTACCATTTACAAATGCTGTGGTGTACATTTAATCTCAGGGATGTTAACGTAACTAAACTTTGAAGTGTAAAAATCTTCTGTTTACAGACTGGTCTCTCCTCAAAGGAAATCTTTAAGTTTTTGCTCATTTGGTGCCTGAGCTGGCATTTTTCTGTCCAAATCAAGCCTCTGATGGGTTCTGGCTAGGATGACCTCAGCTCTTTTACTTAAGTGACTCCCAACTACTCATCTCACTCCTCACACTGGGCCTGCAGAACAGCTGATGGCAGATGGGCAGTTAGCTGGGACTCACCAGTCTCTCTTTCTGCTCTGGACTGGGGATGGGCTTGATCGCTTCTCCACCAGCAGACACAGGGCAGGACATGCTTGGTGGCCTAAGCCTAGGGATTTCTGTGTGTAGAACATGTGGTTTTGGGCACAAACCTGGGCTTTGGGCCGCAGCAGGTGCACAGCACGAACCAGCCATTGCAATGTGCCCAGTGGAGCACATTGCAGGAATGGGGATGTTGATGCTGACTCTTCTGTATATTTTCCCACCAAGCACTTGTGCAGGATGTGTAAAAGTGCTATCGAATTAGATGTCTCCTACCCATAGCTGGTCTTGATTCAAGCATCTGTGCAAGGACTGACAGAATTATTTTTTAATATTTTCTAGCTTCTGGAAGCGGTAAAGGCCTAAACAATAAAGTACACTGGGGATGTATACAAAGCTAAAGTAATTGCCAAGAAACAGGAAAAAAAATTCCTAACCCTCATTCCTTCACTCAAAAATATATTCATTTCTTAATTAGTCTTGTGAGATTATCCTTTAACAAGCAGCTGGTTTGAAACTACCAGCTACCAGTAATACCTGGTATCTTTTCCTTTCTACTGTGATACCAGTAATACCTGGTATCTTTTCCTTTCTACTGTGAGTCCATGCTCACAGTATTCTTAACAGCATATTCTCTTGGAGTGTATTTCTTTGCTTTGGCTAACTGGAGAGAAACATTCATATATTCATATATATATATGTATACATCTGTATATATATATACATATATATACATACACACACATATATATAGACATATATATAGACATATATATATATATATATGTATATGTATATGAGATATGAAAAGTCCTTGAGGTCTGCCATCCAGGTAAAAAGAGCCCAAAATCACATAGGAGATCTAATAGTTAATTCTTCTTTAATGGTCTGTCTCTAGGAATATCATTCTCTGATTTTCTCCAGTTCCTAAAGAATAATTTGGCTGCCTGAGCAAGCTCAATTTTAGTGTGATTCCACAGCTGCAGAAACCCATTGATGTGTGGTAGTGAGCAAATCACTGCATTTTTTTCAGTGCTCAGCTGTTTAAAATATACTGAATGCAAAATCACTGGTAAGTTACAATGTGTTTTAATTACTCTAATTAAAGCTTCTGTAGTATGGCACAGTTCATGATATTTCATTGCAAATTATAGCTCATGTACCTACCATGGCAAGCAGGCGTTTTCCCTTATCTCTTTATTCAAAAACTAGGAAGAATGGGAAGAAACAAACTTTTCAAGCTAAATTGCAGACTAACTAGCTAAAGTCTTTTGACACATTTTTTAGCACCTCTACAATGAGACAAACATTTAAATTATGGGTCTGAAGAGCTTCATCTGATGGTAGGAGAATAAGAAATCCTTCCTTAGGCTTTCGTCTGCTTCTATTTTTATCAGGTTGACTACACCATACAAAAGGGTGCACTTAATATTGCTCATCACACTGTGTACCATAACGTGCAGATTGCAAGTCTTTCTGCTGCAGACAGGAGCAAATCAAACTCATTAATGGCAAATAGATGTTAAACTAGTTTGGGAAGTGTTTATTTCCATTAAGACTAAGACCAGCAGGGAGAGTCTTAGAAAATGTTTTTCTGACTTCACTGCATATATATTGTGGATTTCCTGGGGTTCCCCTTCCATGTTTCCTGCTAAAGCTTGAATTGCTTTTCATGTCTCAGTGTGGCCAAAGACAGGCCTGTGTAACTTAATGGTTTTTTTCAAAGAAGTTCCAAGTACATGTCAGCAGTGGTTTCCATCCAGCCTGGTTACAGTCACCCAAACTGGGTATGGACATCCCCATTGCTGCTGGATTTGATCAATTACAGCAATTGAGCAAAGCTGCCTAAAAGAGGCCTCACAGCCATGAGGGATACAGCCCTGAAAGGCAGAGGAACTTAAAAGAGCTGGTTGACCTTCCTAAGCAACCTTCTTAAAGGGTAAGAAAGCTCTGTTTCTGTGCTCAAGAAAATGAAGGTGTGTCAGGACGCCAGCTTGGCTGAGGGTGTAACTCCCAATGACCTCGAGCCACAGGAGTTGGAGGCAGGGACAGATGATCCACAGACACTGCAGAGTTACTACCCAGTATTATTTCAGGGAGAAAGTTTGGAAGGCCGAGCACAACTGGATTTGACACCACACAGATATGAAGGCTAAGAAGACAACCTTCTGTAAGTACTTCAGCAGCAAAAGGAATACCAAGGAATATGGCACTTACTCCTGTCTAGGAGCAGACAAACTAATGGCAAAGGGCACTGATGAAGTTTTGGTTATCATGGTCCTCTTCTCATTGCTCTTTATTAACAGGGTTTGATCTCAGACCTCACAGCTTCTGCTTTTAGTAGCAGCACTTAGAAAATTGAGGGAGAGGAAATGAACATATACGTCCCCACTGTGACAGGGGAGAATTGAATTCAAGGATGGAGCTGAAGAAGGTGGTCCATGTCATGCAAAATTGCAATTTGTGTTCAGGAGAGGTTTCTCATTACTGGGAAAAGAGGAATCTTATTTCCATAAAAAAAAAAAAAAAAAAAAAAAAGAAAAAAAGAAAATAAAAACAACAAAGAAACAGCTACAGAGCCTGGCCAGCCTCACATCAGCAAGTAAGAACATTACAATGCAGGTCCTCACAGAAGCCCTGTCCAAGTACATGACAAACTGAAAGTTTTTGGAAACAACCAACACAGATTCATCATGAGCAAATAGAAACTGATTGACCTGATTTCATTCTGCAGCAAAAATGTGGGGCTCTGTCAATGAAGGGAGAACAGTGTACATTGCATACCTTTACTTCGGCTTTTACTTTGGCAGGTTCTTCCACAATAAACTTGTAGGCAAACTGGGAAAACTGAGGATTCACTGGAAGGTAGACAAAAAATTGGCTGGGCTTTCTTGACTAACAGTAGTAGTCATAGTCAGTCATTGAAAGGCCAGGCAGCCATGTACATGTAGTATTTCTCAGGTATCACACTCTATTGGTTATGATGCCATTTGGGTTTTGCCTTTTTTGCTTTTATATGTTCTCTGTATTCTTCACACATATATTTGTAACTCTGTCACCTATTGCATTAGTGGCTGGTTTTCCCAGTACTTTTCCATGGCCTTTCCCTAAGCAGAAAGACAAAACAAATTCCAGAGCTCCAAGCCCCGGGAATTGCATTACCACTTGTCCTCCTAATTGGTGCTTTTTTCAATTATGCTAATTTTCTAAAACCTATAAAAATGTACTCACTTCTGGGGTGGGCTTTTGTGGACATCTTTCCATATGTGCCTCTGGAGGTCTTCAAATAAAGATCCCCTCCTTACTAAAATTATCTCAAGTTCCGTTTCCTGGCTGAGAAACAGGCAACAGTTTTCTTGGATGAGAGGATGGAGTGTGCTTTTAGCAAATTAGTGGGTAATACAAAATTAGGGCCGTAGCTGAAGGACTGAAATGAAAGACTCTTAAAGTGAGTACCTTCTGCAAGCTATAGCAGTGGGCTGACAGCAAGCTCAGGATGCTCAGTCAAAACGAGCGTGGAGTCTTGTACCTGGGATGTATCTGGGATAATCCATCGCATGCATTGGGGCTGACTGGCTGTGGAGCAGCTCTGCTGGATGGCACCTGGAAATCCTGACAGACAAGCTTAACATGAGTCAGCCACGTGCTGTTATGGTATGGGAACCATCTACACACATGCATTAGGAGAGTACGTGCTTCTTCCTTTCCTCTTGGCACTTGTGAGACCACATCTGGAGAGCTGTGACCAGTTTTGGTCTCCCCAGTACAAAGCAGTACATGAAGGTGCTGGAGAATGTCAAAAAGATGTGGAGCACAAGACATAGGAGAGGAGTAGGAACTGGATTTCTCAATCCTAAAAAGCAATGGGCAAAGAGATTAAATTGCTCTCTACAGCCACCCATGAGGGTGGTTACAGTGGAGATGAGGATCTGAGATACAGTGACAGGGCAACAGGATATGCTGCAGCCTTTGTAAAGTTCAGTGATCAAAGTCTGGAGCAAGCTGCCCAGGAGGTCTGACCAGACTCCATTCTTGGAAAATGCTAAATATCAGGGCTTATTATTTCCTGTCATAGTCAAAAAAAGCATGCAGAATGTTTGCTGATGAACATCTATATAGCAAAACCTTTACATGTTATGACAGTCTTTTCTCTCTTGTCTTTCTCAGGTGTGTCTAATCCCTTCATCCTTTCAACACCAGGTATTTTAAACTGGTTTTCCCTGGGTATCTTCTCTCTCCTTGGAATTGTCTGCACTTGGTGGCTTCCAGAACTGGATCCTTTACTACTGATCCCAAGCACCACATGAGGTAAAAAAAAAAAAAAAGCCAACCTGATTCTTACAACTTAGGTATGATTCTTATGTTGCAGGATACAAAGAGTTAGTTTGGTTTTTGTTAAAGTAACATCACAACATCAGCATGTAGGTAGTTAGTGATCAACAGTATGAGCTAGGTCAGCTTCTGTAGTGGTTGTATTTGGCTGCATGGTTCATACTCTGTTTTTTTCATTTCCTCTCTTGCTCCCTGCAGTTTCATGCAATGAAATTAATTAAAAAATTTTCAGGCAGTTAGATCTTGTTTTCAAAGGTGTCTGAGGTTCCCTTTCCAGAGTGCCCCAAATTGGCATTTGTTCCTTCTCTGAGATGGAATTTATTAACAGAAATATTGGATTGTGGCACTGTATTACCCACTACACCAAATCTGTAGCTAACTTCATATTCAGTTGTATTAAGAGACCTCTTCAGCATTGAGGGCAAATAACCAAGACCAGAAAAAGCCCCAGCATTTCTTGACGCTATTAACTTGTTCTTCCTAAGTCTTAAACTTAAGCTTTCTGGTTTGTTCCACACATTTCTTTTTCAGAGATGCATTCTGAACTTTTCCTGTTCTCAGACCTTCTTTGTCCTCAATGAATATTCAAAGAGAATTGTTTCAAGATTACTTTGGCTTATTTCCCTAGACTCCTTCCTGGAATTTCAGCTATCCTGACAATTAAAATACTTTTAACTCTTTATGAGTATTAAATATGTTCTTCCAGATTATGGCCTGTGTCTTAGTCTTCTGCTTAAAACTGCATTAAATATCTGGCCACAAATAACCCTAATTGCAGGTGAGATACAGATCCAAAGTACACACTCACTTTCACTAACGCTTAAAAAAATCCCAACTTAAAAGCTACTGGTTTTGCAGATAACTGTTATTTATGTAAACACTTAAAACTGACTTAGTTCTCCTGGAGCCTTCTTCTTACCTTTTTTCTCCATACAATCTATATTATGTGTGTAATTGTATTTCTTTTTACTGACCTTTGCTTTTTCTGTTTCGCCTCAGAAATACCCTTCACTTCACACTGGTCAACGCTTAATTTCCACATTGATATTCAATTCAAACTGGACACTTCTTCACTGTTCCAGTACAGTCATTCACTAAAGCCTTCTCCAGAAAGTAATCTGACATAATGGATGTTTTACAAGCTTCATGTAGGCTGACATTACTGAAGCTGTGCTATATGTTGTTAAGGTAGAAATTATGCAGTTGTTTTCAAAACAAAAGCTTGCTCTTAGAAGTGATCTTAATTTTTCACGACAGAGATTTGGTCAAAATATTCATAACTGAGCCAGTTTCTGCAAGAAGAGTGATAAAGAAAAAATCATGGGCATCCTAAAGACTGAAATTACATATTTTTTTAATCAAACATTCTGATTTGATAGTAAATATGCAAAGGCTATAAACAGGTATTGTTTAGCAATGTATTACTTAAATGCAAATGTTCAGATGCTAGTATTTACATTACACTTCTTTCTATCCCCTGAACAGGTGCAGTATAATAGCTAAGGAGAAAAAAATGGTAGAAGCAAAGTAGTCTGTCCTTCATGGCTAGCTTAACATGAAACAGAAGGAAATCGAGAAATAATCTTCATAGTTCTTATTGATCTCTTTATATTATTACAAGCTAGAAAGTCAAGCTATTTATTGACTGAACTTTGGATAGCCACCTCTGATTAGCTCAGCTTTCATGAGCAAACCTTACAGTTCAGTGAAAATGCTGCATACTGTCAGAAAGTGTAGGAAGATGTGAGGTTACAAAACAGATGTCATTTTTCTTCTTTACCAAATAAATTCAAAAATATTCAAGGTTAACCTTATCACAGTTGATGACAAAACAGAAGGTGTTGACATGCTTCTGAACTTGTATTTTTCGCATTTTTATTGACAAATGAGTTAAGATATTTGTCAAAGATCGACAAAATATAGACTCACAACAAGGGAAATATTCAAACTATAAGATTTTTTTTCTGGATGAAATCCTGCTTGCTTACTGAAGTCTCAGACCAAATGTAATGATGCTTCTACATTCATGTTGCCTTTGGCAAACATACCTGCAGAGTAATATCACTTAAGTTCCAGCCTGGCTTCCTTTGGTCACAGAGGTTTCTCCCTGGAAAACTTTGAATTTGCAAGACTGGCAAGCTTGGATCCTTCACTGGCACATCAAAAAGGGCTGAGGGACCCTCTCTGGGGTGCTGTCCTGTGCTATCTTTAGCACAGTCTTTAGGTTCAGACATAGGATAATGCAGTCCTTGATGTCCCACATTCTGTAACTTCTCAGCAGTCTATACCAAATTCAGGGAAAAAACATGCAAATACAGCTATGAGACCAAGAAAATCTAGGGTCATGTGTGTTTCCAGACCCGTACCATGAAAGAAAACCTCTTATCATCTGAAGACCATTGGTCAGGAACTATTCTGTGCTCCACATTCAGTGAAAACAGATCTCAAATACACCTTTGGTGATGTGTTCAGACAAAGCAGAAGTTTTCTTCAGACTCCAGATCTAGAGGTAGGTGTAACCATGAACTTTTGAGCAAGACACATTAGCTAGGTGCCTGGTAACTTGGATTTTACTTGAAATAAAGATATACTCTCATTTTCAAGCTTCTTTCTAGAATAGGAAGGCTTCAAAATATTAAATCTCAATTCAACAGGTATGAGAATAGAGGAAAATTGAACTTACAAAAAAGTGGAGTAAAGTAAGAAAAAAAAAGTGGAATGAAGACTAAACATACAAGTTAAAGTATTCTCATATGACAGGGATCAAGTCTTCTTTTAAAATCCCATAATCAGACACTCATAATCTCACATACCCAACTTTAGCTGCACAGAATAGACCCAGAAGTTAAAAGTTAAAGGCAGCTAATCTGTACTAGTTCTCTTCATGATGCTTTTCCACAGATGATCTGAAATACCAAGCAGTCACTGCATTTTTTGGGTAACAAAAAACCACCATCGAGTCTAAAATCTAACCTTAATGACCAGTCATATTGACCCTATTGGATAAAAGATTAAGGCCTAGGGATTTTCTTTCTCCGGGGGATGCAGAGCACCCAGTTCCCTCCTCTGAAATGATCAGGCATGAGGGATAATGGCAGAATCACAACTTTTTTCCCCCTCTTCCTTTTGCCCTGCAATGAGAGAGTATTATTTCCAAAGCAAGCCCTCTCTTCTGAAAGAAATTCATTTCCAATTTATGTTGTATCAGTTGCAGTGCTGGAAAGCACTGGTTGGACTTTTGCTGGCATTTTCCTAAGCTTCTTAAAATCATCATGTATGAAATCCAGAAGATAAATATTCACAGGATTTTTGGTTTTAAACTAGTCATTTTGGGGTACTTTTTATGAGCAAACTTATAAAAGTTTGCTGCCTGGAATGAAATGCAAAGTAACAGCATCTTGGATTAACAAACAGCCATTTTAAAAATAGCTGCTTTTAATTACTGAGCTCTAAATCAAAAAGTCAGTGCAACATCAAGGGGTGCTTTTCTCTATTGAATGTGAACACCATTTAAAAGTGAGATGTCTTCTAACCTTTAATTTACACCTTCTAGGGATGGTTCTGAGTCATAGTTTTAATTTCTTCCTATTTTTTCCTCCATGGGTTGCAAAACACATTTCAAAGTCTCGAATAAGTGAAGAGACCTGATCCAAAATTCCTTGGCAAATCTCCCTCCTATTGTGAGGAATATTGGCTGCCAAGAGTCCAAGACTGAACTCTGTAAGGATGGAGTTTTTCCAACACTCCTGGGTCACTTCAAATATCTTTTGAAAATCTGGTCTTTGTATATCGGGTGGCTGAAGTGTTGCCATCTGTATTTTCCTACAGTAACATTCCTTTATCCTTAACACTGGGATAAATGTTGGTTTTTTGGTCTTTTTTTGTCATTTTGACATTTCAGAAAATTAGAAAAATTCTTGGTTTCTGTGTGCTTCTTGTGCCTAGAACAGACCCTCCATGTGCTCCAAACCCATACAGAAGAAAAGGACTTCATTAAATGTTGCCACCCCTGAGCTCTGGTGTTCCTCCTGAAAACGTAGTGGAAGACTATCATAATTATGTAAAACTTTTTACAAGGCTCGTAGTGTTACTACCACAACACTGCTTCTGACATGAATGAGATCAGTTTCATTCACAAGAGAGATAAATTTCATTCAGGTATTTGTTTCATCCTACTGATGACTTGTAGCTTCCAGTATGTGAGTTTTTTATCTTGGCTAATGGGAAAAGGATTTCTTGACTATGATATTTTCCGAAGCCAATTTACCCAAGAGGTGCAAAAAGCAAGCGGTTTGGTGGGTGATTGCTAATGTTCTGACAGTACATGGTGTGTTATGGGGGAACATTTATTAAACAAACAATGTTAACTTGACCTAAGAATGAAGTTTGATCTCTAACAGGAAGCCCTATCTAATGATTAAACCATGGAATTAGGCTGTTAGGACTATAGCTAATAAATGCTTATAACCGAGATGCTGCAATTCTTCATTCTAGACACATGCTGACCGCAACGAAATCCAAAGACCAAAGGGAGGTGATTTAAAGCCACTCACTGAGAAAAGAGCTGCTTCCAGCCAGCCCAAGGAAAGGATAAATACAAGGAAAGGCTGGACTTTGACCTCTTTTGAGGCTAGGTGCCTGAGGGAAGCATATGAGGTGATTCACAGCAGGGCAAGATTCACTGAACCAGAAGGGAGGTCTTAAGGAAGCTGACTCCACTTTTCTTAGCTCTGTGGTTTTTAGCTGAGAGCAGGCAGGCAACTTCTGCTTTTGGAGAGCTGTTTTGCCCTAGGCAGTCACAGAAGAGTTGGAATGACACAGAGACCAGAGATAAGTGGGCATCCTCACCCCAACAGGTCTGTGATTTAGAAAGTGAGGCACTGTCCAGGAGAGTGGGCTCTGTTGGGAGAAGAGGGAAAAAGGAGGGTCACTTCTTACCCCTTGACACAGCAGATTGATTTGGCTGAATGATTGAGACTACATAATGCCACTCTTTCTCTCAGCTACCTGTAACACAGGCCTTTAAACATTAGAGAAGCCATGATCCTGCAGTGACCTAGTAAGATTCTCAAAAACACTTAGCCCAAGAGGAAGGAAGCACTGTTAGAGCACAGTGTTTAATGTGTTCTGATCATTCTTTAAATATTTTTCTGTAGCCAACATACTAGCTCTTAACATGAGCTACTATGATTACAGTAAAGCCAAGGAGAGAGCCTTGGAGTTTAACAAAACCAGCTTAAAATATGAAAATTTGGTGAGTTTTTTTGCAGTGGGTTTAGAAATAGCTGTCAGAATGTCCTTACAATTTGTGGCATGGTGCTGCACAGTGAATTTGGTGCCACCATCAAATTTTAAATACTGAAGCCTAGATATTTGAAGCAATTTAGGTAGTCAGTCCTATGAATATAGAGGAGGCTTGGGATGAGAGCCAGCTGCCTAAGATCAGGTGGACAGAGACCTTCCAGGTGCCTGATGGTACCCAAATAATCTGCATTTGGCAGGCAGACATGATGTGGTCCTGACGGGACCTGCAGGAATCCCATGCTCTGCTGGAGAGGCCTTTGAGGAGGACACCCTATGGGCCATCCGGGGAACTCTGAACATCCACGACAAGGCACTTGAACCACTTGGTCAGTTCTTGGGGCAATGTTTGCTCTGCACACAGAGATGCCCTGTGGGCTCTATCTGCTCAGCCCTTGCTGAGGAGTTCCACACCCCACTGCATTCTGTGGGGCAAGACCATTACAGTGGTAACGTGGATACAGACAACATCCATGTTGAAATGAGCTGTTTTTCAAGGGAGGAATATGTTTTTTCTATTCTGATCTGTGACACCTAAGTGAAAATTGAATCCTAAAATTGTATTTTATTATGTGTTGGTAAAGCACAGCAAAGATTTTCAATGCTTTATTAAAGGTTTTTAATATGCTTGATTGCATATATCCCAGCCAAAATCTTCTCTATCCTACATAGGTATTTATCTCAGCCAGCAGATTTTGTTTGCTCAGATCCAAATTAGAAAGTATTTAAAGCAGATAGCACATCTCTAAAAATATACTGAATTTACAATGAAGCTTTAACATTCTCTTGCTAAATTTCACACATCTGATTTGATTTCTGAAAAGAAAAGGTAAACACGGAAATTTTCTTCACTAGTTCTCATGCGCTGCTTGCAACAATACAAGAAGAATATTTCCTATTTTACTACCATGTATTTGAAGCAGAGAACAAATGCCCATTCCCTTTACAGGCAAGGAAGTCAAGTTTCCAACTGCAGTTAATGCCGTGTTTTGTTCTATTTCTTGGTAATGTAAGCTCTTATGCAAATTGAATGTCTGCTGTTCAGGCCCAGTTGACTACAACAGGGGAGGCTGGAACCAAATTGCTTCTGTCTGTCTTAACAGGACTTTTTAATAAAATCTACTTTACATAGCCACGAATCTTGCCAGGTTAAATTCTCACTTTATCTGTGTTCACATTCTTGTTAATTTATTTTAACTGCAGCAGAGAAGGTTAGGGTAATGGGAAGAGCCGAAAGTGGAATGTTACAGTGAAACCTGCTGCCTGTATTTAGATAATTTTCTTTCAAAGTGATAGACCATTAAACCTCTAAATTGTTTTATTTGCTACTAAAAAATGTCTTTGCTTAGTCTTTGAGTCCCAGGAACTAATGAAAGAAGCCTTAGAAGAAAATCAGCAGATTTTGTAAAAGTAAAACTAATATTATGTGCAGAGCTTGTACAATACTATAACTTTTGACTTTGTAGAAAATGAGATAGTGCATCAAAAAAGACAGTTTTTATAGAGATTACAAATGTTTATTTCTCCCTTAACTTTAAAAATAATAGTTTAAAAATTCAGGTTTAACAGATTTTTCTAGTCACTACTTTAAAAACATTTATCTCCACATTAAATATATTTGGTATCTTATACCAATTCTATTATGTTTTGTATTGAGCAACAGAATATAAAAAGGGTTTAAGTTTTAGTGTCAGACAGGTCAACCTTGATTTTTACCGCAGAATTCAATATGAATGAAGTTTTGAAATATTTGGTTATCCAAAACTTTTAAGAAATTCTGCAAATCAGTTTATATGACATCTTCTCTTTTCTACCCCTTTTTTCTCTTCGCCTGATACAGCCTGGTAGCTCTTCACTTCTTCTCCCTCTCTTGGTTGGTTCAACTACTGCAAATACTCAAGCTAATTGTGAAGATAACAGGAATCACTGCAATAATATGATACACATCTCCCAAGTTATGTTCTTGTAACCAAATGTTATATAGCACTCATCAGCTAAAGAGTTAAAGGTGTCATTATGCTTTTGTGTTTGAGTACATTACACTGTCATATTTGTGTAATTTTCCTGTGTATTTGTGGTGATGTCCCATTTGTTAAGAAATAAAACTTTTTCTACTTCTATGAACATTAATGTTTGGTGAGAGAGCCCAAGCTGTCCAAGTGTATTGGGGTTTTCACATTTCATACACAGGTCTGGCTTTTAAAAACTGCTGAGAACATACTCCTGGGCAAAAGTGAACCCTGAGCTATCCTAATGTCTGTACTTGGGAATATGAGTGATTTCAGACAAGGAAAACAAAGGATGACAATATGATAAAAGGAAATATATGCAGCAGATTTTAAAAGGATTCTTAGTTCACTGCAGGAAGAAACTATTTAAAATACCTGTTCCAGGCTGCACAAGAAAATTTAAGCTATTATGTTAAAAGGAACCAAAAAAAAAACTTTTTTATGACAAAGTGGGAAAGATTTAGCTTTGTTTACAGTTCCAGAAATAGCTCAAATTTATAGGATAGTTTTAGTTATAGCAATTATTTTTAAAAGAGTCTGGCCCTAAAAATGTAACAAGTCAGTAAAGTAGTTGTTAGGAAATATGATTATCTTCATATTTAACACAGGATTCAGTTTGATGCATGCATTACACACTGGACTCAATTTCTTTCCTAGAACATGTGGTGTCTTTTACTATCCATCAAGGCAGATCTTGTAGTAGGAATGTAGTGTCTTGGCTAGACATTGGCAAGGAATTTTTCAGGTAAAATACAAATATACCATTCTTAAATATATATTTTATTTAATCTTCTGTCATGACACCTGAAGCTATGGATGTTAATGAAACACCACAAATCAACAGAGTACATAGAAGTAAGAGAATTGGCTTTTGACCAATTTTTTTTTTCTTCTTTCTTTTTTTAAAATTTCCACACAGCATGAGTCATTTAAAGTTATGATGACTGAAAGACAAAAATTTCCATGTTTTTACACCCTAACTGAATGCTGGTCTGGGGTATGATTCTTACAACTGGTACTTCAGTAGTCACTGGCTGAAATTTAATACAAAATTTTAGCAATATGTAAAAATTTGCACAAAAAACAATACTATTCTAGAAATTTTGGGTATGACCTCTGAAAGCCTTGTGGCCTGACCTCCCTGCTCAAGTGAAGATGCTCAGAGCCAGTTGCCCAGTGCTATGTCCCAATGGCCTTTGAAACTCCACAAATGGCTGGAAAGCCCACAACCTCCCTGGACCACCTGGGTCAGTGCTCACGGTAGAAAAGTGTTTCCTGCTGATCAGAGGGAATCTCCAGTGTTTCATGTTGTGCCCATTGCCTCTGGTCCTCATCACTGGAAAGAGCCCAGCTCCATCTTCCTGGCATCCTCCCCTCAGGTGTTTGTAGACATTGATGAGGTTCCTCTGAGTTGAGTCTTTTCCAGGCTGAGGAACCCCAGCTCTCCCAGCCTTTCCTCAAAGGAGGGATGCTCCAATCCCTTCAACTCTGTGGCACTTTGCTGGACTCTCCAGTATGTTTATATTTCTCTTATACTGGGAAGTCCAGAGCTGGATCCAACACTCCTGCTGTGGCCTCACCAGCGCTGATCACTTTGGCACAGACTGCAGCAGAAGCCTTTGATAGACAGCTCTGGGGAAACTCAGGGACAGTCTGTCTTCTTATCATAAAGATCACTTACTGCTGTTTGAGGATTAGTAATGCCCAAATGCTCAGCCCAAGGGGTAGGAGGAAAAAACAAAGGGGCTGCAGATTTCAGCATTGATAGGGCTGTCTTGTCAAAAACAAAATCCTCTCTTCCTTAGTTGTACTTCGAATTTTTTTAACATTCTGAAGCTATTATTCTGTTCAATCTGACCAGCCAGGTCTTCAAGAGGTTGGATTCCTTGTAGGCTTACCACAGAGCTGTCTGAACTGCTGAGGGTTTTTGGGTTTTTTTCCTTTTAAGTATGAAGCAACTGCTAGCTAATGCTATGTGCCATTTTTTTAATCTATATGGATTAATATACTAATTTGTATGAGATCCTTAATATTTTGCTATGTGAACCAATTTCATGAACCATGAAACCCAAGAGTCTGCAGATAGTCAAATTCACTTCCTCAGAGCAAAATTCTGTTACTCAAACGCATGTTCAAATACGTTACTGAATTTTAAAGGAGCATACAGTGTATTGTCCCTGAGTTAACCCCTCACCAGAAAAATACAGGATGGAATTCTCAGTTAAGACAAGTTTCTACCAGCAGGATCCCCATATCCCACACTTCTGAAATTTTATTTTTTTTTTCAGAGTTTGGAGCATTTAATAGGAGCATCCTGATCAAGAGTGGTGCCCACTATTCTATCCTCCTGTGAAAGGACTACCTCCCCCACGAATCTGGTTTTCCACAAAGGTGGCCACTGAGGGGTTGTATTGGATGGTAATCCCATTCCCCTGAGAGGACAAAGGCTTGGGGGAACCATCTCATGGTACCTGTAGCTGCTGAAAGCTGAGGCTGCTGTGCACCTGGTCCCCAGAGCTGCTCCACCAGCCAGCTCATTCAGCTGGGCATGCTGCTCACAGTGATAATGGTATTTAATCAGCTTCTGCAATTAGGCCCATGGAGATGTTCTGGAGTGTTGGGATCTTTTATTTCCCCCTAGGCACAGTATTTTGTGCACAGGAAAATTTGTTCTGTAAATTACATGGCAAAATGACCTGACCAAATTTCTGCCTACACTTTCCTTTTATGTAGCAGCAGACTGGATGCTACATTTGTTAGTGCTCCAGTGAGCAGCCAGCACTGTTAGGTGCTCCACACACCACAAGAAGTGAAGTGGGCAGTGCATCATATTTGCCTAGCTAATATTATGCTGAGAAAGAAATCATCCTTTCAGAGTTTTATTTTAATAGCCCAATTTCCCACCCCCCTTGGAAAAGATAATCAGGCCATATAACCTTACTGCTCACAATGCAAGTAGCATGGAGATTTTCCTGCATGAAAGCTGTGCCACTGTCTCTACATGTATCTTGGAATTAAAAACCCGACAAACTAATACCAGCCCAATAAACGGAACTGTATTTATCTCACCAATAACACCTTCTTTGTGATACACCATTTTCCTTTCCCCCTTGCAACTTCAGAAGCTTTGGAAAACATGTTTTTGAAATACCTCTGTGTGTGAAGCTTATTAAATTAGTCTGTTCCCTTCAGTATTAAAAAAGAAAAAGTAGATTAAAACTCAAGTCATTTCATGGTCTGAAAAGAGTGTCAATAAAAGTGAAATAATGTTTGTACAGTTTAGTAAGGTGGGTTAACCTTTCTAAGAACACAGCAAATGCTTTGTGGAAAAAGAAATTACATTCACACGTCCTCTTGGCTTTGCAGAGGTAGTTTTCTAATGTATCATGAAAGAGCTGCAAATACATGTATTGAATAGCAAGTATGCTGATAGTTGCCCTGTGGCAGGTTTAAGAAAGGCGACAGCCAGAGTACACAGCAGAATGGTTGCTGTGTCAGTTTTGACATCTGTTTTGGAAGAATTTTGTCTGTCTCTAAAGCAGTGTGATCCTCAGTGTACAGTCACTTTGGAAGTGTTAGCTAGTCCACGTTGTGCTGAGCACACTGATGCTTTGAAGTGTCAAAAGCTGCTCAAGATATTTTAGCAATATATAAGCCCATTTCCTTTGACAGAAGATTCAAGACAAGGCTGTGGGAGAGTGAAATTTCTTCTGGAAGATTACACCCATTTCTATATTAAGTGGCAGAAAATCTTCCAGTCGCTCTAGCCTTTGAAATTATGATCTAAATTCTGAATCTGCTTCCCCTCACTGGGTGGCTGAAGCTCAGGAATTGTATCCACTGAAACAAACTGACTGTAGATGTAGATGAGGAAAGCTCTGGGCTTGAAAGAGCCTAGAAGAGTAACCAAAATGGGGAAGGCAGAGGAATGTGGTACAGCATGGAAAACTCCATGCAGTTTAATCATTTTCCTGCACACATTTGTTCTGTTCCCTGTAATAGCTTATTGTAATCTAAAATTCAGTTCATTATGAACATATTTTTTTTTCCATTCTGTTAATTTGAAAGACTTTTACAATTAGAATTCTTAAACCAAACTCATTTAATGTTCAAAAAGACAGAATTGTGGCTAATTAAGATAACAGCAAATCAACCACATAAAACAATCACATGCTGTACTGAGTATGATTACAGCAGCCAATGTATTGAACACTGTGAGATATATCCTCTGTTGCTGACAGGGAAATATGCTATGTTTTCTCTGATATTGCAACTCCACCCCCCCCACCCTTTGCTCAGGTAGCATTTATCCATTTTTTAAAATGCTGTCATCCTGCAGATTAGTTGCAGGCAACAAGGCTTTTCATAGTCTGGCTCTAATTCCCCATTATGATACAGCACTGTGCCTTAGGCATTGCACTGCAAGCAATAGCAAAGATTTACTTTCTACCAGTCAATGCTGCACAGGCACCCAAGCCAATCCCTCGATCGACACTGCCTGCTTAAACAGCTATGGATGGTTCATCAACCCCCCCTGTGCTAACAGAGAACAGCACACAGCTCTCATCATTACTTTTCGTCAGTTTTCTTTATC